CCTGCTTCTAATCCAGTCTGGCTTCTGCTCAACCACCTTCTTTGTTGTTGTTGTTGTTGTTCTTAAATTTTTTTTTTTAACATTTATTTACTTTTGAGAGAGAGAGAGTGAGCACAAGTAGGGGAGGGGCAGAGAGAGGGAGACAGAGGATCTGAAGCAGGCTCTGTGCTGTGAGCACAGAGAATGATGCTGGGCTGGAACTCATCCAGCATCCCAGCTGGAGCCACCCAGGTGCTCCTCAGCCACTCTTCCAAGATTGCACTTGTCAAGCAAGGTCAAAACAGACTTTCGTTTCTCCAAATCTGATGGACATTGGTTTTTGTTTTGTTTTGTTTTCATTTCAGCAGCCTTTAAAAGAGTTCACCCCCTGTGAAACATTTTCCTCTTTTGACTGCTATATCACACTGTCCTGATTTTTCTTTTACCTCACTGTTTGCTCTACCTCACTGTTTGCTCTTCTCAGACCCCTTTGATGACTCTCTCAGTACGGAGTCAAGCTAACAGATTGGGGTACCTGGGTGGCTCAGTCGGTTGAATGTCCGACTTTGGCTCAGGTCATGATCCCGTGCTTCATGGGTTCGAGCCCCGTGTCGGGCTCTGTGCTGATGGCTCAGAGCCTGGAGCCTGCTTCAGATTCTGTCTCCCTCTCTGTCTGCCCCTCTCCTGCTTGCACTCTGTGTCTCTGTCTCCCAAAAATAAATAAACATTAAAAAAATGTAAACAAACAAAAAAAGTCAAGCTAATAGAAAGGTGTTGACACTTTTAATTTGCTCCTATAATACTAAGCAGCACAAACAATCTATAAATGTTCTCAGGGCTTATTCTTCTCCTTTCCCTTCTTTCTGCAGTAGCTCCCTGGGTAGAGACATGGCTTTAAATACCATCTATGGGGGTGCCTGGATGGCTCAGTCAGTTGAGTATCTGACTCTTGATGTCAGCTCAGGTTATGATCCCAGGGTCATGGAATTGAGCCCCATATTGGGCGCTGCACTGGGTATGGGTCCTGCTTAAGATTCTCTCTCTCTCTCTCTCTCTCTCTCTCTCTCTCTCTCTCTCACACACACACACACACACACACACACACACACACACACATTCTCTCTCTGTCTCTTTTTTAGAGAGAACTCTAAAAAATAATAATAAAATAAAAATAAGTTAAAATTTTTAAAATTTTTAAATTTTATGCTTATGGACTGTGCTTTTGTATTCCTCTTTCTAGCCTAGGCCTCTCCTCTGAGCCCCATGCTCATATACCTAATGTTTACCTGACATTCCATCCTTTGAAATCTCACAGGCATTTCACTCTTAGCGTGTCCTTATTGGACTTGATTCTTACCCATCATTTCGAGCCTGGTCTTCCTCATGTCTTTGTCATCTCCTTAAATAGCACCATCATTTACCAAGAGCCAGAAACCTGGAAGTCATTTTGGCCTCCCCCTTTCCCTCACATTGCATCCATCAGCAAGTCCTGTCAGTTCATACTGCCCACTCTCTCCATCTCTACTGCCACCACCCTGATTTCATCAACCAGTGCAGAATCTTCCCAATGAGTCTCCCTGCTTTCACAATTGCCTCCTTTAATCCATTCTCTGCAGTTTTAAACATCTAAGCCAAGTCTTTCAGCCCCTCCATGTAAGCCTGTTCTGTGACCCTCTGTTGCACTGAGGATAAAATTTACACTCCTACATAGCTGGTCCCTGCCTTCCTCTCTGATGCCTCATCTCTTGTGCTGCCTCTCCATCCCTACGCATCAGTCATAGCCCTCTCTCAGGTTCTCAGCTGCCCCAAACTCTTCGCTTTACTGTCATTCCCTCCCTCAGTCTACATGAGGCTGGCTCTCTCTTCCCAACTATGTGTCTCACTTTACGTGCCACTTACTCAGGACCTCCCCTGAGCAACCTCAATAGACCACCTTATTCTTACTTATCCTGGCACCATCACAATTAGAATTATTCTGTCTAGCATTCATCACAATGTGTAATTATTTAATTCATTTATTTGTTCTTTCATTACTTGTCTCTCTTCCTAGCATATAAGCTCCAGTAGGTAGATACTTTGGTCTTCACTGTTGTGTAACAGAGTACCTCTTGGCTTTTCATCATTGTTTTTTTTTTTTTTTTAATTTTTTTTTTTCAACGTTTTTATTTATTTTTGGGACAGAGAGAGACAGAGCATGAACGGGGGAGGGGCAGAGAGAGAGGGAGACACAGAATCGGAAACAGGCTCCAGGCTCTGAGCCATCAGCCCAGAGCCCGACGCGGGGCTCGAACTCCCGGACCGCGAGATCGTGACCTGGCTGAAGTCGGACGCTTAACCGACTGCGCCACCCAGGCGCCCCTTCATCATTGTTTTTTAAATAAACTTTTGGAAGGCTCAGCAATTATGCAGCTGAAAAAGAAATGCTGTGCCCTCTTGTTCCCTTAAATACTAAAGGTTCATACTAAAGTAACTTGGACGTGTCCTACTTTCTTGCAAATATTAAGAGCCAGCTAACACAGAAATTATAAACTGGGCCCAGATTATATAGCATGTATCTTCTCTTGGGTATTCCATTAGATGCTGACTTCTAATTACCCTCTAGGTTTGGCATTTGAATATTGCAAAGCGCACACCTATGGGTTAGCGTCTATTGACTAGGTTAGTTCTGTTTGTCTTTGTGGAACTCCGCAATACATGACCTACATCATATGTCTCTTGAAACACACCCCAGCTGTTGAAAGTATCCTAGATTTTCCTTTATCTTTGGTTACTCTACATGTTTAATCAGCTTGCTGTTATTACCCAAACTGCTTTATTTTCCTTTTGCAGACCTTCATAAGTCCTCATTATGGAATAAATTTGGTGTCAACATATATAATTGTGGTACTCATGGGCATTTGGGCATTCTTTGTTGCTGGCGGCAGCTGCCGAAGCCTGAAACTGTGCCTACTCTGCCAAGACAAGGACTTCCTCCTTTTCAATCAGCGTTCCAGATAACCTCTGACAACCAGCACCTGCCAAACAGTAAGCTGCATCTTTAGAGGAAGCACAACTGTGCCTTTTTCTAAAAGTTCCTTTTCCTGGTGGGATTTAGAAAAAACAAAACCCTCTAGATAAATAAAATATGACTTCATGCAGCATCTCTGGAAGGATACAGCAGTGGATGTACACATCCTGGCTATACATTAGAATCGAATCCCTTGGGGAAGTGTAAAGAATATTGACATCTGGGCTTCACCCTCCACATATAATTGGTCTGGGCATTTGGTCATTTTTAAAAGCTTTTCCCAGATGACTCTGATGTGTAGCCAGGTTGATAATCATCAGTGTCCACATAGGAACTTTCTGAGAACACCATAAATGAATAAAAGTCTGATGTTTAGCCGTCTCTCAACTCAGCTTGTGCTGAGCAGGTAAATCTCTGACTGTCAGATCCTGCTTAGCCTTTGTCTTTTTAAGTTAGGAAGTCACAAAACGCTAAAGGGCTCTCACCCCTGTGAACTTTTCATGTTCTTTATTATACCCTAAATTTATGAGAACATGGTAGGTTGTGCTTCTAAATGCAATAGTAAATTGCACTGACTTACTATGATAATTTAGCCAAAGTAAGCTAGTGATTAACAAGCTGCATTTTTTCCTGTAGTTTTACATTCTGGATTCTGCTTTTTGAGGCATTACTTTGTTCGTGAGCGTAGATTCAGTTTCTTTACCTAAAAATCAATTATTTTCTGATTTCTGGGAAGGTATTATAAACCAAGAATTTTTGTGCAACTTCCGTAAATCTTTCCTGGGTTTAAGGCTTTTCGTGCGCTGTGCCCCGAGGCAGTATTTACCAGCTGAGTGCTAGCAACCAGCTGGGCTAGTTGGGGTGAAGTCCATTGTTCTATCTCTGAGCAGTTCTGCAGGTTGCTGAGTGATGTACCCTGGGACACGCTTCACTAGAGCTGGTGAAAGTTCAAAAGCATGAGGAAAATAAGCCAGTAGAATGATGTTGACACTTTAAATTTGCTCCTGTGATACTAGCCAGTACTTCCTCCTCCTCACCAAGTGATGTAGTGCAGAATTAGAAATATGTCTTAAACTGCCACATCGATGCTTTTACAGAATCCGTATAATCTTTAGAGCTAGCAAATGTCTCTGGGTTTTAGTAGCAGATACAACACTCCCTTTATAGGAATACCCAAGGTGTTCAGCTTCTGAGCAGCCCTTTTGATTTCCTTTATAAAGAGGAAATGCCAGTGAATTGTGCCTTTACTAACTAGAAATTGCTCCCAGTTAATGGCTTTTAGAGAGTGGATGGTGTGAAATGAAAATTCCCTACACATTAAAGTGATAAGCTCAATGGATCCCATATGTGCAGTAGAACACCCAAAAGAAATGGGAGCAGCAGTGAGAGAGAGCTCACCAGGGCCATGACAGATGGAAGAATTGAACGGTACTGTGATGGGAAAGAATAATGAACATGTCTAAAGTGGAAATGTGGCCAGTGTTTTGGGCTAGCCACACATCATTCCAGGGGCCAGACCTTTCACATGAACTAGATCTTTATCGGTGAAATCTTCCCCCATGTTTAAATTATGAGAATTTCTCAATCTAGGGCTTCAAGAGAAATAGGATTTCTAGCAAGGCTGTAAACAGTCCCATAACAATTACAGTTATTACCCTAAAGTTCACTTCACAACACTAATACCGACGCTTCCACTGGAGTTTGCAGTTTTCCCCCTTTATACAAAGTTTTCCTTAGATGAAAAGAGCCACAGGAAGAGTCAAAGGCATAGAGACTGAGCAGTGAAATTTACTGTGCAGAGTTATGGGAAACAGGATACCCACTGAACTGCCCTTTATTCCTATAGGAATGTGGTGTTCTTTGATGAACAGAATAAGAAAAATACATAGTTGGTTATTAGTATTGACTTACACATCTCTTAAATGGATAGTCTGATAAAATATTTGATCTGTAAAGTATTGAAAAATCCGAGAATATTAGTCGTACACCTTCCTGCCCTCTGAGGATATCTTCTGTGCTTTAATAGTTTAATATTAAGTAAAGAAGCTGGGATATGGTACAATCTTATTTATAAAAATTTCTCAGGCCAGAGGAAAATTTTCTTTGATGCTAAGACTTGTCTGAGGAAATTATTTTTGACTCCCTATGAATAAAGGAACTTTGTAATCCTGATTTCTCTTAAAATGTGAGCATTGCCATAGTCAGCTTAGGCACTGTTGTCATAAATAGCCCTGATTTGCCTGATGCCAAGGACACCCAGAAGGAGAGGAGAGGATAGTATTCCTCTGTTGCTGTGTATATATCGAGGTGCCTTTTTTTTTTTTAACATTTGTTATCTATGGTGAGCCTTCTGAGCCCTGATAGTATTTGTAGAGGAGGTGGTATTGATATTTTGTTGATATTGATATTGATATTGATGTTTTCCTCTGCACAAAGCTTTCTCAGTTTGGAAGGAAATGTGGGTTATAGAGTTAAAGTTGACCTTGGAATATGAATATTGTTGCAGTGCTTGAATATTTTGCCATGTGATTAATAGAGATTGGTTTTGTTGCTCTCTAATAAATTTGTATTTATTTTGTATTCATTTAAGTCAGTAGTTGTAACTGCAGAAGTTTTGTTACCTCAATCCTGGCCCACCTGGCTGGTCATATAGTAAGTAGCAGTTTCTTTTAGAGCATCTAATGAAAACATGGCTGAAAGGAAGAAATGATGATTAATGGCAGATTGTCTAGAAAATGGTTTTTGTTCTCAATGTTAATTTTTTATTTTAAATCACACTTCGGTGTTTGCTGAGAGTGGTAGATTCACGTCAAAAATATTAGGTGTTCTTATCCATAGAGTTGGTGCAGTATAAGCAGTTGTTGACAGAAGTTTCCTCTTTCCTGCTACTCCTCCCCCTTCCCAGTCACCTCATACTAGCGCCAAGACAGGGATTAGCTGTCATTATGGGCCTGAGGGCTCCAGGGAGGCCAGGGTGGCGGCCTGTCTTGGGGCAGCGGCAGCCTGATCCCCAGGAAGAGCTCCTTGAAGGTGCTAGCTTTCGTTAGCTAACTGTTTCTTAGGCCCTGCTATTCCTAACTCTGGGTGGACCAAGTAGGTATCACAACAAACCAATTTTAAAGTGCTTTGCTTAGAGCATTTTGTGTATGATTGCAATGTTTACAGTTCTCATTTAATACAAGGCTTTACTTCTATTAAATTCTAGTGTTTAGAGAGGTGGGGTACTGTATGTATCATTTTATGTAAGTATGCAATATGTATCATTTTATGTAAGTTACGCCGTTATGTCATGTATCCTTGTAATGTCAGGCCTTGCGTTCAGTACACAATGCAATAGACTCTTTGCAGACCTGTATTTTTCAGTGAACAATAAAAATATTGTTTGGCACTATTCATTTCCCATGTTTCCTCTTTTTGGAGTAGTGTATCCTTCAGTATGTGTTGTTACAGTTTTTGTCTCTTATAAAACTTGGCTGTATATTCTGTTGTTTATGACTGGTCAGCTCTGAGACTTTTTAAAGAGAAATCTTTGTTACCTTAAAATTCCTAAGGCCTATTTCATTTCTGTGTGTTCAGAAACAGTTTGGTGCAGAGAAGTTCTTTGAGGTGTTCTAAACCAAGTGGAAGATTATTCTTGAAGATCCTAGAATCACCTTGAAAAATCTCCTCTAAGTAATTTTTTTAAAAAAGTTTATTTTGAGAGAGAGAGAGAGAGGGAGAGCATGAGCAGGGGAGGGACAGAGAGAGAAGGAGAGAGAGAGAATCCCAAGTAGGCTCTGCACTGTCAGCGTGGAACCCGATGTGGGGCTTGAACTCACCAAACTGTGAGATCATGACCTGAGCCTAAGTTGGACACTCAACCGACTAAGCCACCCAGGCATCCATCTTTCTAAGTAATTGTAAAACAATGAATTTATAAAACAGCATGTAATAGTAGCTAAAGATGGGAATTGGTTGACAAAGAGAGTATAGTTTACTTTCTACCCAGTGACCCTGAGCAGCCTATAGAGTCCTTATGTTTTTTTCTCTCCTTGATGTGGAGGCAGGGCAGCTGAGGGGTTGAGCTTGGCTTTCACCATCAGACAGGCTGTGAAGAGAATTGTTATGGCCTGAAACGCAAACCATGTGATACCTGTTCACTCTGGTTTGAAATGAGGCTGCTCAGGTTTATGTTGACTGTGTTACTCTGTGAAATAACCTCAGAGACCAAGAGCCTTTTGGTTGTAACTTGTAAGCCAGTGGAAGAGATGTACATTCTGTAGGTAACAGCCCAGATTTGTGTACAATTTTTTGGCCCCTTCCCACTGAAACTGTGGCTCTAATTTAATTGTTTGATATTTAGTTGGAACAAGGATTTCTCTGTGACCAGCCTCAACACATGAGAAACCTCCAATGGAAAGAAGTACATATTTTATCTTCATCTCATTGAAAATGTTGAATAGAAGGAGCTACTTAACTGGCTTTTGGATTTAGTCTTAGTAAAAGAATTGGGGACTTGACACATTCTAAGGCGACTGTAATTATGAGCCCTGAGCAGGTCCTGGCTTTAAGACTCAATAATACAAGGTACGTGTTGCATGAGTGTGGATCACTATAAACCTTTCTTCGATTTTGTAGTAAACCATTCTTTTTTCAGTGCTTGAGCAAAATCAGAGATGGAGTTTGTAGTGTTTAATCAGGGCCTAGCATGCACAGAACACTGTATTAGATACTTTAAAAAGATGGAAAAGAACAAGATGGTGGAGATCTGTGTTCTCTGGGAACTTATAATTGCACCGCACAGATTAAAACACATAAATATTACTTTAAGGCAACTAAAAATGTACTACCAATTATGAAATAATACAGAATAGCTTGAGTGCATGATACTTGCAATTTTAGTGGTAGATGAAAGGCACCTGGGTAATGGATGTAGATCCAGAGGAGAAGGTGTGACTGAGGACTGAACCCTGGGAAACTCCCAACTGAGAGGTTGGAAAGGGGAAGTGGAATTGTGCCCTGAAGGAGGGAGGAAAACCGGGAGGTGGCCAGAGAGGGGAAAGTATGTCACATACTGTTGGATAATGAGTAAGATGAGAAGTGAGAATTGATCATTGCATATGAAGAGATGGAATTTCATTGTATGGATGAACACCTAAATGGAGTGGGTTATAAATATTGGGGGATAAGGACGTAGACACAGCATATTGGGTACAGACAACCATTATAATTGTAGTAGGGGAATGGGATGATAGCCTGAGGAGTATGAGGGGGCAACAGAGGGTGTCTTTCTTCCCCCCCCCCATAATTTATCATTATAACAACATGTTTGTATGAAGATGGGAATTTAGTGGAAAGGGAAAATCGATTGATGCAGGAGATGGGGAGGATAGTTGCCAAAGCAAAGTACCTGAGGGAAGAGTAGAGTGAAATTTTTAGTATTAAATGCTTATATTGGGTAAGTCAGAATGCTTAAAATAGATGACTTCAAGCTTTTTCTTAAGAAACTAGAAAAAGAGCAAACTAAAGTTTACAAAATAAGCAGAAGAAAGGAAATAATGAAAAGAATAGCAAAAATCACATAGCAGAAAAACAATGGAGAATTTCAATAAAACAAAAATCTAGCTCTTTGAGAAAATCACTACAATTGATAAAGCTCTGGCCAGATTGGTGAGGGAAAAAAAGAGGGTAAAAATTATGACTATCACTGCAGATCCTATGTTTATTGAATAAAAATAGAATATTATAAA